CAGCATCCTCCCACCGCCCCCCGGGGGGCGGTACTGCCCCCGTTGAGAACCAATGGTTTAGATCCTTCTTGAAGGCATCAGGACAAGTATGTTGTTAAAACAGTGCTGTTTGAGCCTCTGTCTGGTTTAAGAGTTCTTCTTTTCATGGCTTTTCAGCAAATAGAAATAGGACTTGAAAAAAAATCTTACCATGTGAAGTTTTCAGGATTCTGCATCTTCTCTCTCTCATGCCCTCCTCTCCCAAAAATCAAGGAACATTCCATGCCAAGTGTGCATGTTCAGCCCTTTTCTTTTTTGGTACTTTCCTCTCCCATCAAGTATTTATTATTGTACTTCTGAAAACTGGAGTTCTCCAAGCCTGCTGATAGTGTTGTCTTGTGTTGGATGGTGCCTTTTGTATTAAATGTGGAGTGACTCTTAGAGAACTGATATCAGCCTTAGTGCTCTTTAAATTTGTCAGCTTACATCTACCTACAATACAACTTGCCTGATTAGATTCAGCATCAAATTTAATGCCTCATGCCTGGTGGCCCATTCCCATTCCACTCCTTTTTTATTTTAGGATAACACAAATGTTTCAGAATATTTACCAAGGTTACAGTCTCTCACCACCTTTTTCCCCAAGATAGTTTCTTGGTCTGAGTCGAAAGGGAGGGAGGGAGGGAAAAATGAGTGTTTGAGGCAGTACAATCGTGGTAATTCTCTGTGGCCACTGTGCCACCCACAAAAAGGCAGAAGTGAATTCTGTATTAGAGCATATTATGTGTCCAAACCTTGGATGAAATGCCCTTCATCTGTATTGCTTCCTGCTCCATTAACTAAGAGCCAAATTATATATTACATAGGGGAAATTTTCAGATAATTCTAGTTGGAATTCTGGCAACTCTGCAATTCACTCACCTAAGTCAATAGTTAGCAGATCTTCTGGTTGTAAGCCAAATGAAATCCCTTGAAAATATCTGGGAACAAATGTTTGAGGTCCAAAAGAAGTAAAGTTTATTAAGATAGTTGCCTGCTGTAACAGCCTGAATTTCTGAGCTTTCTGCCTCAAGGAAAGGAGAAGAATGGAGATACTCTATTTTTCAGTCTTCAATCAGGGAAAGCAGAGCAGAATCAGAACAAAGGAGTTCCTTGCTTGCTATTGCTACACCTAACACCTGTAGGGATCAATAGGATAAAAGGTGCAAAGAGTCGATACTTCTGGTGCTTCATTTCCAATATTAAATTCAGCTCATTCAGCCTTAACAATCTGGTATTCTCCCCTGCTACTGTGATCAATAGCCATGCTGGCTAGTGGATTACAGTTGTTGTATTCTATGCATTCAGAGGATACCAAGGTAGGCTGACCTAGTTTCTTTCATGCTTTTTTTTTTTTCTTAAATTAGTTGCAGCAGAGAGAATCTAGACCAAGACTACAGTGTTAGAACTCTCCTCTTGAAACAAAGACAGAATGATAATCTTTTCTCCCATCACTGAAACTGGAATATGGCAAGAAAATGAAAATGTCACTGGCTCCAATAATTGTGGAATAACGTAAAATACAACACCAAAATAATCAAGCCATTCTGAAAGTGCACCTCTATACTACAAATTTAAATTGTTTTTACAGCAATGGAGTAGTCATGGCACCCCTTCAAAACATTCTGGGAATATTAGTTTGATCAAAGTAATGCAATTTCTGTGTTATAATTTCTGATCTCACAAAACTATACTTCTGAAATTTCAAGTTTGATAATTCAGTGGTGGGCAACATGGTGCCACTCAGCATCAATGTATCTCCAGATACCTCACACAACTCCCAATTCTCCCTGACCTTTTAAGATACTTTTTGATAAAAGAAAGTAAATAGGATACTGTAAGGTGAAGCACCAGTCTAATTTATTTATTTACCGAAATCCTGGGCACCAAAAAGGTCCCACTGAGATTACTGAGAGCATCCTAGGTGACTAAACTGCCTTCTGCTAAATGGGTATTTTGTGACCATCATATTTTGTGACTAGTCAAGTATCCCTTGGGAGCTATTTTGTACACTCATCACATGTTCCCAGATGGTAAATAAGCTCCAGCAGAAAGGTGGTTTTCCCATAGGATAAATGTTTAAAGAATAATCAATTGTGCAAATATGTTCTGTGAATTTAAAAAAACAACTCCTCGTAGAAATAAAAGTGTTGGCATCTTTTCCACCAAAAGGCTCCCAAATCAAATTGCACTATACAGCAGATAAGCCAATTCTTTGCTTCAAGAAAATACATGTTATTTATCTGGAAATTTAAAATCTCATCTAATCCATGGCTGTGATACCAAATTTTCTGAGCACTACTTTGCTTCCTTAACTCATAATGTGTCTCTCTACAAGAAAAAAACTGGCAAGAATTCTGGACTTTCAAAGTTCATATTGGAAAAACCCATGAGAGAATCTGCATGCCAGCAGCAAGGAGCACCTTTAGATTCCCAAATGCATGCAATGCAATCCATGGGGCTTCCTTATGGGGCTTCTCCAGCAAAGCAAGCTGGGAACAATCACTCTCAGTTCCATCTACAGGACCAGCTATAAACTAATGAGTAGATAATATTTTTTATTTGGTCTATTAAAAAATCCCCCGATATTCCAGTAGAATGGGGATACACAACCAGTGATTCCAGGGTCACATATGATCCCACAAAGCTGCAACAGAATCACACTTTTTAATGTGAAAGAATGGGGAAAATATTAAATATATGGGTAATGATTCCTATAAACTATATTTGAATTTCATTGAATTATAGTAATTTGCTGTCCTTGCTCACTTTGCTCTTGCCACATTTCCTTTTACAGAACAGCTCTGCGAGTCCTATTGTTTCCCTCTCTTTTCCCATGAGATAATGGAGTTCAATCCCTCACAGTCTTTCCCTCACTTTTATGCAGGACATTTCTTTTGCAAGAGAATGGGAAGTTCCTACACATGGTAGATTTCACGGTCACAGAACCACCCCTCACAAAGGAGCTCCATATTTGTCTCACAAAGATGAGGCATTCTAAATCAGAGTGAAAGCATTTAAAAAATCAATCAAGTATACTTTAATAGAATTTTATCATATTTTATTTTGGTCAGCACAGTAATAAACACTCAAGTAATAAATTCATCAAACCAATGGCATAGTTACCTAGACAAATATATATATATATATATATTTCTTTTAAACTAGGGATATATATAGTGCAGTTCATCTTGCAAACACAGAATTTTCTTCTTCTTTTTAAATATATATATAAATGTTATAAATATTAACTAGAGTAATGACAGACATAAAGAAAAAATATTTCCAAGCACTTGTACTTTGTCAATAATGTCATAGTCAATGCTAAACGGATGTTGCCAATCCAGCTGCAGAAAGCCAAACTATAACTTATTAAATAAAACATGGACACAGCGGTCTAGAAGTAGATATATTTTAGCTATACTGTAGCATATTCTCTTCAAATATAGACTGAACAAATAAAATTAACAGAAGTTGATACAACTCCGAAAATGTTGGCTGTGCATTCATTGGAAATAGCTTCCAATACTTTGATTGATTTTAATAATGGTTCTTAACAGTGTAAGTGCATATTCAACACAAATTTGTATTTGATAAGTTAATAAGGATGCAATGTGTATAATTTTTTTTTTGCATCCCATTATATTGATATTGGCACAGACACACACAGAGACACACACACACAACTCTACTGAAGTTCCTTTCTAGCAAAGCACTTAATTAATATATTGTAATTAGAAGCATATCTATGATGCTAACTATATGGCCCATGGAATTCAAGGCTAGTAATCATAGCAACTCAAGCTTGATATAATGGCTTGAGCTGTACTAAGGACAGAAGCTCAGTAGGAATAACTTGATTGAAGAGCAACAGTTATGGAAGATTATCTACAGAATAGCTCCTCATATTCTTAGAGAGTGAATGTATGTTAAAACAGCTGTCCAGTACATATTGCTTGACACCTTTGTTTGTATAAGTGACTGTGCAAGCAAGGAATAGCTCTTAGGATCATCCTGCATCTTGTCATAATAGTGCAAAGATGATTAAGTAGATCTATGCATTTTTATATGCATGCTGCTGTAGTTTTATGACTGCTGCAGCATACTCCAACTTGCACGCCAGCTCATTTGTAGTGGAATCGTAAGATGAATGGAAAGTAAACATCCTGTGTGAATTGACTGCACAGTCTCAATAGGCTTATTCTAAGGCTAATTCACAGTTAATCAGATGTTTCAAAAACATAACCCAGAAAAATATCACATTGCAAAATGTCCAGGTACATAAGTATTAATAGATGGAAAGAAGGAATTACAAGAAGCACTGCCTGGAAGAGTTCAAAGGCAAAGATCTGGTCCAATGTTATTGGCCTAGAAGATGATGTCAAAAAATTCAGGCAGAGTGCAACATAACATACAGCAGAACAAACTTCTCACAGTGTCTAGAATATTATAGTTGGAAATATGATTATAGCCTGCCTGGAAATTTTAAGTCATGAAGAGGGTAGGAGATATGGTTATAACTGTTTGGTAACTGTTGATATTCTTGGGAATCTAGCAGTCATGCATTAGTAAGAAGCCCAAAGAAAGTATGGCTAGAAACAAAGACAATGAATATGATGTCCCAGAGAGACTCTTTCCTGTGACATTTAATACATACACACATGTTTATCTTACTATAATCTATGCTCAAACAAGTTCTGAACAACAAGACTGGATCAGTCTTAGAATACCACATTTTTAGATTCTTTGGCAAGTACGAGTATATCAGGAAAAAAATACATTACTAGCAATAAGTGGAACACCATGATGGATACAGAGGATCAAGTACTTTGCCATTAAAATTATGCATTCATATTTAAATCTGGAATGCTAGTAGACAAGCAAAAAAGAGACTGAGTTCTCAAATTTAATAACATATTGTTATGCAGCAAAATTAGCATATGATAATCATACAGTAAATATTAGCATTGAAACTAGCAGATACTGAACTTCTCTTCAAGGCTGTGTTGTGATTTAAAAAATAAAATCTGGCTTCCAACCTCTTCCTATTAACATCAATATTTCATATGGAAGGAAAGTTCTGAAAATTCTGAGAAATACATACATTTGAAAAATACATAGGACTTGATTCAAAGTAATCCTTCTGAGAATAGAAGGGTACTTTTCATTTGTGGGAAAAAATGCATGAAGCTGCTACTGGAAGAAATTAAGGAGGTGATTTTCATAGATTCTCCTTGTTCCCCCTCACATACAACTCTGGAATCCCTACCAATTCTTTGGAACATGGAAGAGAGGGGACAAATTAATGAAAATGATGCCTCCTTTCATTTCCCCCCAAAGAACCATTTCATAAGTAAAATGCTACTCAGTGGGAACTCTAGATCAAGTTGTATTACTACAATCAACCATTATGCAAACTCTAATCCTCTGAATAATAATAATAATAATAATAATAATAATAATAATAATAATAATAATAATTTTTTAAAAATCCTCCACAACCTGTGTGAATTGTTCAGATGAAAGCTCTTCAGTGCAAATAGGCTCTTTTGTCTCATCCAGTGATGTCCAATAATTCATTGTTATCCACTGAAAAATATGTTCTGTAAAGCTGATCACCAGAAGTCATTCATTGCAGCTAAACACAATTGGTTCCAAAAAGAAAGTTACAAAATTGTCTTCTCCCCAACCCCATCCCCAATTTTGCAGTAGGCAGTTTATTTCACAAATCCAGTTGTAACAAAAATGAGGTTTCAGTAGAGTCTGGAAAAATAAATACTTTCATACTTGGATGGCCATACTGAGAACACCATTTTTAAGACTGGACTCAGATGTCCGTTTACACATCATTATCCAGATTTTCAGGATGATAAATGAAAGTCTGAAGCTGTTCTAAACTCCTGAAAAATAGCTGTTGTTTCATTTAGCTACAAGTCTAGCTGTAGTCTAGTAGGTTGATGTTACTGGTATTGAGATCTTCTGATTCAACCACACAGTATTTCTCTTTCTCCAAAGCCAGCACTACATTCTCTTCATGCATCAGAAGTGCTGAAATGAGATGAATGGGACAGTCTCTCAAAAGAGAGTTACTTTTTGGCTTTTTCCCCACCTCCCAACTCCTGGAGCAAAGATATGCCCAGTGGACGCTCTGCTCATGCAACATATCCAAGCTGCACACTCCGTGAGAGCCAGGGCTACTCCCCATTCTTCTGATGGGAAAAATCACAAGGCAAGCCTGAGCAATGCCATCTGTATGGCTAGCACAAGCAAATCTGGAGGAAAAAGGTACCTGCCTTTTCCAGGGACACTTCCCAGGCTTCCAGTTGTGTGCTACAGCACTGAACCAGGAGCGCAGGTGGCTGCCATGAGGATGTGCCCTAGGAAATAACTGTTTAGCAAGTAAGGCACCTCATAATTTTTTTTCCAGTTGTGTGTAAATCTTACAAATCCCATCTCTCTCTAATGTCTGACATATTTAAGGGAAAAGGGAGCTGACAACAAAAGTATTTGGAGCAACTTTAAATGTTTAATTTATTGTAGCATTAAATGTTTTGTCAGAAGAACTTATTTCATAAGAGTCAACTTTATGACAGGACCAGACCAAGATGGTTTGCTGCCTGAGGGGAGCCTATTGTCCATCTCCCACTTGAATAAAAAGCACAGCATCCAAAGCTAGTTAAGACTTTTAGACACCAAAGGCAGAAAAATGCTCTACCATTAAAAATATGGTAACAAATTAAATATTGCTTCTTTCCTCTCATGATATCTGACATCAACTGCCTGAGGCAGCCATATTATCTCTCCCAAAGTACACACATAAATAGTTTAGGAACAAAGCAGTAACATGGCTCTCTTCAGAACTTGATATATTGAACAGTATATCATTATTTTCTTTCTTTTGGAAACACGTGGCAAGCAGTGAGTTAAAACAGAAAGTCTAGTATGGAATACTGAAAGCCAGTAGAAGATCTGGAGAAAATATCTATTAGTTGTATGACATATTTTGGATCAAGATCAAAATTTTGAATTATATTTAACCTGATCATAGTACTATATTTACATTTCAAAGTTCTAGAAAACATGTATTTAGGGCCAATTTATACCACCCAACTGGTATGGTCATAAGCACCTTAGGAGAAATGATAAAATGCCATCAAAGAAAATAAGTTCAAGAGTTATTGAACGGGGAACACATTTCTAGGCACAAGAATATACAGACGTGGCTCATTAATCATTGAAAAACCCAAGCTTTCCACCACATACTTCTCAGTCCTGAAAGCATTCTGGGCACTCATTCACTCTACTTTTCAATAGTGTAATAAATACACCATGGCTAGCACATGGTGAACAATCATGAGAGCTCTCTGGCACAAACAAGATTTTACCCCAACCATTTGTCCCACATACCATGCTAATAATTTAACTGCATGACATCATCTTAAATCTCAGTATAGCCTGACAGTTAAAACACTCACTTCTCTTCATGAATAGAAGCATTACTGACAAAAGGAATTTCTTCCTTGTCTGTCTTCCCCAGGATCAGATTTTGTTTCTCCAAGTTTATCACACACTAAGAAATAAATAAAGGTGAATAAAAGAAAATACATTAGAAAATAGGTTAAGAATACTTGGGGTAAAAAGGATAAGGATATGCAAAAGGAAGATGATCAAGGAAAGAGAAGTTTACCTTCAAATATTTCAGTGTTTGTAATCCCAGAGAGAAGCTTTTCTCATTACCTTCTGAAAAAAAAAATACAGAAGATATTCAGAGTGATGCAATTTTTTTTTTAAAGCTCTATAGGAGCTCTGTTCCTATGAAGCATATTAAGGATATAATGAAATATTGATGCTTTTCTCAATTCCTTCTCTCCACTGGATGTCCAGAACATCTTCTAGAAGTGCATTCCCATTTTGGCAGATTTCAAGTGCACTCCAAGTACCACCAAAATAATGGCAGAGTTTTGCAATTTTTTATTCTCCAAATGTTGAAAAAAATGTTCATCTTGGAATCTTCCAATACAGAAAAAGAGCTGAAAATATTATGTCTTGTTCTCAATCACATAATTGACTCACTTGCTATGTTCTTGTGACCCTTGGAAGTTAAAATATAATGTAAATTGAAAATGTGTTCTCCAGCTGCAAAAGATTGTTCCTACTGTATTACATATCTGTGTTACATACATGTCCCACTACTTCCATCTCTAGCAAACAAGATTTTGTATTTCAAAATCCTACACAATCGATATAATCAGGAGTTGTTATTAAATTTTAGAGGCCACACAATTCTAGAACAACTCTGGGCAGCTTACAGTTAAAAAGACAGAAAACAGTAAGAACAAAAAAAGCCTGTGTCTAGGCAAACTGCACTCTATATACTATAAAACACAGCTGACAAAGGCTCCACAACCACCCTACCCAAAGGCCTGAGAAAACAGCCAATTTGTAAAAGACTTCCAGAACATCATCAGGGTGGAAACAACATGGATCTCTGGGGGGATATAATTCCAGAGGGCAATTATGGGTTAAAAACAGTTTTCTCATTCATGGTGCTCAAAAATTTACTGGCGAAAGGCTTGGCTGCATGGCATCTATCTCGCTATAAACACTTACCAGCCACAACAACTGCAGAACAATCTACATGAACAGTCCCCATTGTAAGAGGCAGATGTTCCAGATGACCAATCACTTTCATATTATGTGGCAATGAAATCTTCTCACCTTCCGCTTTGTAGGACTTCATATGCTCCTTTAGCCTGAAGATTGAAATAAAACTCTGTGAATATCAGAAGTATGCTCATTTTAGGGAGGTGGGCAATATATGTTGCAATCTACATACTAACCCTGAAGATAGACAACTCCCATTAATTAATTGAGCATCTGACATGAAGCTAGCTAGCACAGATAGAGAAATGAACCTTCCCCCGCAAATGTGAAGGGATGCCTACTGTGGAAAGCAGAGAAGGTGCCCTCTTCCCTGGTATTCAGGCCAGATGTGCTTTTTCAGCAAGGACACCTCTTTCTAGGCAAACTACTGGTAAAGTTATATATATAATTTACTAGATCTCAATACCAGGCATGCATGACAAAGCACAAATCCTTCTCCTTTTTTAAAGCTCTTTTTACTTGCTAATTATTAAAACATATATTTACAATAACATATTATGATGGGTTATATAAAAAGTAGCCATAGCAAGAAGAAATCTTAAAAATTAGTTATCTTCCCTTTCTTTGCAGTTTGACCTTCGATTCATAAGCAAGATTCACCTAGTCCCGCCTTAGGCACAAAGCCAGCTGGGTGATCTTGGGCCAGTCACTCTCTCTCAGCCCTGGGAAAGAGGCCATGGCAAGCCATTTCTGAAAATGCTGTCAGAAAAACTGCAGGGACTTGTCTAGGCAATTGCCAGAAGTCAATGCTGACTTGAAGGCATTTAAAAAAGGGGAGGGGGATGTACAAAACATTTTAACCTTGCAGCATTTTCAAACAACTGTTTCAAGCATTCCAACTTTGAAATAAAACAGAAATGCTTTGAGAGTTTTATTTCAAAGTCAGAATACTGTTATAAATAGTTTGAAATAGCATTGTTTCAAGCATTCCAACTCTTCTGAGCTTCTGCTCTACAGTGTTTAACTTCTGCCTATTCCAGTTCTCTGTGTATGTAGCATATGCAGGTGTGATTGCTCTTTTTAAGTGATAAACTTTTCAGAATGTATTTTGCTTGCTGTCCGTACAGCAGGGTTTTTTAATGCTATTGTAGAGAGTAAGGAAGATGACCTTGATGGGAACATCCAGGCTTCATCGCCTACACAAAAGGGCTAAAACATTTTTTAAATCAGAATGTCCAGATAACGTCCAGAAGCGACTTAGACACATACCTCCCTAATTCACTGAACTATAAGGAGGAGGAGGTACAGCACAGACTTGCGAGATTCTGTTATAGCCAATCTCAACAAAAGCAGTTTTAGCCATCCTGTGGAGTTGATTTCATGGTCTGATCTACCTAGTGGAGCTGACAGATATATAGAAGTATAACTCTCCACCCTTATTAAAATGCCAAGTGCCTGTTGACTGTTAAAAATAATGTATATATATAATAGTTCTCATTGCTTTCTATGTGTTAATTGAGCTCCTTGGTGGGACTTCTATAATTAACTGATGACTAAATTTTTTTTGCTAAAAACCCCAGAGGCGGTTGATTAGATTCAGTGCACTTCAGTACACTGATTCAATACACTTCAATTCTACAGTATATTTTTAAAGTTTGCAAAAACATTTTTTTGAAAATAATCTCTTTAGTCATTTTTTCTGCAAACTGGTTGGCTGCAATCTGCATGGATTGGCACCCCCCTGTGCTATAGTGAATAATGACAGAGGAAGGGACTCATACGTGTTCCTATTGTTTCCTATGGCCAGAACACTCAAAACATTTCATACTTTGTTTTTCTGGAATGCAAATGACTCAGAATGTTCTAACAGAACATTTTGAGTTAGGCTATTTGCTCCAAGCTTGAAACAAAACACGCTTTCCTTTTTGTCCATACTCCTAATGAGCACATGCTACAATACATTTCATCATGGACAAAAAATTACATATTAGAAAAAATATGTTTGAGGTTTTGACCAAATATGTAAACTTATACAAAAATGTTGTTGAACTAAACTTGCAGCTAGTATAGTTAGAAACCAAGCAAAAATAGAATAAGCATATGTATACAGTATAGGCTCTAATGTAGACATTCAGCCAGTGGCTCACTGGTGTTTAGTATCTGAGATTTTTCTACATTCATGTTCTTAAACTTGTAAAATCTTATCTTCTTTTCCAACTGAAAAACTAAGCAATAAGGGTCCTAAAAATTCTCTCATATTGCCCACAACTATGATCAGTCCTGCACCCAATACTATCCACCCACCTAAAACGGAGCACTTTCACACTGAAGGATTCCAGGAATACTAAAACCGGCTTTTCCCAAACAGATGCACTAGACTGCAATAGCTAGTTTATAACCAACGTGTTTTGTCATGTTAACTGGGAATTATAATTGTAATCCAAAGCATTTTAAGTATAACAGGTTGGGGAAGGTAAATCTTAATATTGATCCCATTTTAGTGGTTTCTCTATTATTACTTACTTTACATTGTAAGCTCAGCTCTATAAGTGACTGCTATTGCACCTATGATCAAAATGATGTATTTTTAAAGTTTGAGTCAAGCTCAACTACTGGTGACCATATGGACACATCCATGTAACCTTCTAGGCAACAATATGGATGTGATTTGTCAATGCTTTCTTCTGAAATATTTCTTAAACATGCCAGACTAACCTAGTATCTATTTGAAGTCCAAAGTCTGTCTGTCTTTTTGCTATCGTGCATAAAATATTACTATGCATGCCTGCTTCCCCAAGTTAGAGGTTGTTGCAGGAGTACCACTACTTGTTCGTTTCTTATAAAAAGCCCATCTCTTTCAGGCTGAATATAATTTGCATGGTCTTCATGGACATGCCCATGTAGCTTTCTTGGGAGCAGCAGCAAAACGTTTTGTCATTTCCTTCTTCTGGAATGCTTTTTCAACTTCTCAGTCTAGCCTGAAGCTTGGGTATTTCCTAGTGGTTTCCCCACCCTGCTTAGCTTCTGAGCCTGAGACATGTTTACTGAATGGCAAGAAGATGGAATCTCTTTTCCTGAACTCACCAAGAGTACTTCAAAGAAAGAGAAATAATTCTAACTCATGCTAGTGAATGTGAGAAAGCAGAAAGTTCAGATGAATTGGCAACAATGGGAGAGACTATATAAAAATTACTACTGGTTATATAAAGATGTACTGGCTAAATATTGTTTTATGAACTAAAATTATGAAAAATATGGTTAAAAATGTTTAAAGGGCAAAGTAGGACTAGTGATATAATTGCATCTTCAACAATATGGGTTAGATATGGTGTCTAATCAACATACACTGAGAAAAGAGAATTTGAAATATTGAACTAGGAGACCATTTTCTGGAGCATCTGTTTGCTTCAGTTCATGGTTTCTAAGCCACTTTTTTACAGGGAAGGACAGCAAGGATGTTTGTGCTAAGAAGCAGATTGTGCTATTCTGCCTTCATGGAAAATAGGAAAAAATTAGTTAAGATAATTTTAACAATTGGCAAACCTTTCATATTTTGCTAATACACAATGTTCTATTGCTCTGTCGAGTAGCAAATGTGAATCATGGAGACACTTTTAGTGTTTGACCTTTTTGCTGTTCCCTTACATAAGGGATATACAATCTGTGGTCTTCCAAGTGGTTCCCTATAGTCCTGGGTGTGATTCCCAAAGCCGCCCACAAAAAGATCTCCAAAGTGTAATTTTTAACATGACAGGAGAAGAAAAATAGCAAATACTGAGAAACTAGATTATATTAAATTCAAATTGAGTTTTTGTGCTGACCCCACTCACTTTTGGAATGAGGTCCCCAGCATCCCACTTCAAGTATGGTCCTCAGTTAAAAAAACAGTGCCCCCCTCTGAAACAAAATCATATCTATAGAGTTCTCATGGAGGGTCTTGCAGATTTTTTTCAAGTGTTTCCATATCACTTATTTACAATTGCGGATTGTTTTTCTTTTTTCCCTTATAGGTTTTTGTTTGTTATTTTTGCTAAATTCACATGCCACCTTTTCTCTAGGAACTCAAGGCAACTTACATAGGGATCTCCCTTTATTTTAGCCCCATAACAACAGCCCTGTAAGCTAAGCCAAAACAGAGTGACTGGCCCAAAGTCACCCACTGAATTTCTATTGCTGAGGGTAGATTTCTATCTTGACTCTTTGATGTTAGTCCAATACCTTAACCACCATAAGATACTATCTATCATGGGCATTTTTACAATTTCTTTCACCTCCCTCTGGGGATTTGCATATGATCTTATTTTAGAGCTCAGCTGGTTTATGTGGAGTTTCCCAGTGTGGAGATTTTAAACTGAAAATTTAATCCTGCCCCCTTCAGCTAAATTCATACAACATGTAACACAACACAAACCAAAACCCCCAGTGTATAAGCAACAGTCAAGATTGGGATGTGTGGAAAGTTAGCTTTCTGCCGTTGATCTAAAAATGTTGTAAGTGCGTTGTGGGGGAACAAACTTTCCCCATAGGTATTACTCAGAACAGAGCCAGGTTGGTGTAGCGGTTAAGGCATCAGGCTAGAAACTGGGAAATTGTGAGTTCTAGTCCCGCCTAGGCACAAAGCCAGCTGGGTGACCTTGGGCCAGTCACTCTTTCTCAGCCCTTGGAAGAAGGCAATGGCAAACCACTTCTGAAAAAGCTTGCCAAGTAAACTGCAGGGACTAGTCCAGGCAGTTGCTAGGAGTCAGCACTGATTTGAAGACGTTAAAAAAAACAAAACAAAAACCTCAGAACAGCAACTAACTAGGAATATGCACAATAGCAACATCTTGAAACAATGAGGATACAATACAAAGTTCAGTGCAAAGGAAGACAGAAATCCACAGTCACACAGGCTAGGAATTTCAATAGGTGCACCTTCACATAGGGATACAGTAGAAGCTTGATTTAAAGAGCAATTTGGGGGAATGAGCTGTCTATAAAATCTAAACATCTGCTACATTTGAATATATATCATCATTTATGTCAATTTATGTCATTTGTGTAAATGTCATGATTTGTAATAAAACCCTCAATTTAACAGACGTTAGTAAATCAAACAGGGTGAAGTCTGAACAAAAACGTGTCCACTGTATCCGGCTCGTTAACCTGA